CCTTTCTTCCATCACTGGCATGACAATTTACGTTCAATGGAGTAATCAGTGACATCATTTTCTCTTCATTACCACTACGTGATACTTCTAGTAGTTCATCTTTCTTATATTCACCTGTATAATATCGTAATTAATATTTAACAAATAGGTTACATCTATGTTTCTTACGAATATTAAATAGGTGACCTCGAGAACGCATAGTGCTCAAACGGGTATCCAGATGTTCATTTAAGTTAAAGGGATTGTAAAAATATTTTCTAAATTTATATGTGTAACACTACAGGGACACCAATTTTCAATCAGACATCTGTTTGTTGACAATTAATGTTGTTGCTATTGCAAAGGATCTCAAATCATATTAACTGTTGAGATAGTTAGTAAAATACAGTTAGACAATTATTGGTTTTGATAGCTATTGGATTTTAATTATAGACCAGCTTTGGATTGGAGTATGACAGATTCCTATATATGTGGTCAGAAATAAACCTACCAGTAAGAACAGATTTAGCAGACGGGTCTGAAAGTTCGCAAGCTGTTTTACCGTCTGTATTTCTGATGTTAGGATCAGCCCCATGTTGTAACAAAACTGAAAAAATAAAACAATTTGAATCACAGAAATAATCGATTGTGGCTTTTACTGTCAATATTTTAGAATTACAGAAACATTTTGGAGTGAAGACCTATTTCTTAAACATAGAATTGGTACTATCGAAGGACACACTTCTGACAAATGTTTTTCCAAGCATAATGAATGATAAATAATACTGATAGTTGTTTATGACATCCATACATGTTTTTGAATGAAGAGGAAACCCTTACCTATACAGACGTCAACTTTGCCTTTAATGGCTGCTTCGTGTAAAGGGGTATAATTCCAGTTATCACGAGAATTTGCGTCTGCTCCATGACGTAACAATAACTGGACAACCTCAGCATGTCCGAAACTGCAGGCGTTGTGTAGTGGGATGAGACCACCATCATCTCTAGCGTGAACATTAGCTCCATTATCTAACAGGTGTTCTACGACATCTTTACGTCCGAAACCTGCAATATATAATACAGATATTAAGACCAGGTATTACTTGTGGAAGAAATGATGAAGGAGTTGATAATAAGTTGAATAAAAGCCTTTTTGCCTTTTCCTCAATTTTGCTTTTTCTCAAAATTTTTTTTGAATATTTGAAATCATTTGTTTGCTGAACTTCTTTATAAATCAAATTGAGGTGAATTATGAAAAGTTATCTTTGAGAAAAGTTCCAAATTCTTTTTTCGATAAAAATGAATAAATGTCACAAAAAAGGGCTCAAGTTCCCTATGACCTCAATATCCCCAAAGGTCAGAGAACCATAAATTTCAAACTACAATATTATACAATTAAACAACCCCCCAGGGATTAGTGCTGACATGTTCTAGTTAATCCCTTACAGGGCTTAAAATACTATAAACCCCAGGGGTGGAGCACCACATCATGTTCCTCAAACTAACCCCCAGGGTGATATAAAGATGAAGATAAATCATAATGAAATAGATAACACCTCATCTCTCACAAACCTTTTCCTGAAATAATTTAAAATTTGACAATTAGCTTTATGTGGGATTCAGGAACAATTTAATTCTTATTTCGAATAGAAGAATATTATAGATAAGAAATACGAATTAAGTTTTGTTTTGTTGTTTAGAATGTTACAAAGACTTTTATGGAAACTGAATGCATGACATACGTGTAACTTACAGAAAACAATTTAAGATAAATATCTGGGGTTTAATTTAATTATATTTCAATTATGCTTTATGAAATAAAAATATCCGCAAAGAAATATACTCAAGAAAATGTGATATTGATACCTTTTAGTATAATGTTCTATAAGAGAGGAGAAACTCTCTTATAGAAGCACTGGCCTTGGTCACAAGTAGGGACTGTGGATTTCAGCATTGGAATACATCAATTTGATAGGAAATTACCTACTTCTGGAGAGATTTTTTAGAATACAAATGAAATCAAATCACAATGAGACAAAATTCATAAAAACAAATATTCTGATAGTTTTCTTGGAAGGTAGAGGGGAAAGGGGAAAGGGGAAATAGACCTGCAGTCAAAATGGCAGATATGAAGTAAATTTCAATTAATTTCTCCTTAGTAAGTAAAAGAATTATAGTTTGAAGAGTGACATGTGTACAACTGTGACTAATAAGCTAACCCAATGATGATATTATCTAATGAGGCTTTAACCCTGTGTAACCCTTAATCTAAACTAACATTAACCCCTGACAGGCTACTTAACAATAGTTGTAATATAGGTAATGTTAGGGCAGTATTGTTTACCCCCCTGTAGCAGGGGATATCGTTGACTAGACACAGCCAGTTTCCTCCTTAATGTGACACTTTACGCCTCTTTTGTTATCCTACCAAACATTGTCTTATAGTATTTATATACTGATCAAAACAAAGGGGAGGGGCAGGTTTAAACCTGGGCAGGTAAATAACATTAGATATTTATCTAAGGTTTAATGGTCCAGGAGGGTCTATACCTACATGGTTTAAGAATTATAACAATAAATGTTTTTATTAATTTATAAGCTAAACCCATGTCATAAAACCGTCTCACTAATTTCCTAATCCTGCTTCAACAAACCTAACATCCTATTTTAATCTCCTGTTTTATAAGCTGAAATCTGAATGATTGCTTTAAATTATATTTTCATCTATTCTTGAAGTTTATGAGTGGATGATACAATTCTTATTTCCTAGACATTGGGCTTGTTTGAATGTTTTAAATACATTTAGAATACCATTTAATTACCATAGAATTTATGTTAGTTAGTCTAGATCTGAGGACATCTTTATGTCATCATTTCACATTAAATGCACTCCAAAGATAATAAGTGTGAATAAAAACTTATTAAACTATAAAATATCGAATTATTCTTTCAACTGAATGATTTTGGAGCTAAGAATAAAAGTTGACAGCCTGTCATTGGAAGCTAACAAAACCATTATCAAAATTTTATAAAATTCAACCAAATATAACCAAACTGAAATAAAAGATGATTTTTTTAAAATTTTGTCTGAGAAACTTTCTTAACTCTGTAGTTACCACATGGTAAAAACTGATGACCCTTGACCTGACCTGCAATTAATTGATATGGATCATTAACTAATACTTGGGGGTCAGATCTGATTGGCAGGTGTCACAGATATTAACCAATCCAATTTCAGTAATGATAAACTGGTTTGAGTGTAATCCCAGTTCTATAATTTGATTGGTTGTGTCAGTGACACTAGAACAATGTTAAGATGTTGGCATGAATGAAATATGAGACATTTATATGAGGCTTATTGAGTAAATTGTACTGGTAATTCCCTCAGTAATTCTCAGTTTTAATCTGATTTTCACATGTCATTAATGGTCTTTTGTAACACCATGCCTGCTGTTCCATATTTCTGAAGGTGGATTATCACATTTAAAAAATGAATTTAAAACTGACTAAATCAAAACTGAGCTACTAAATCAAAAAGAAACAATCTCTGAAATCAAATAATCCCATTCTCTTTACCAGAACTGTAAACCAATTTCATAGCCAAATTGACATGAAAACAGTATATAAAACATATACCTGTACGATGTAGTTGAATTTGCGCAAAGTAGAAACAGTGCCAACCAATTTCTAGATGTAACCTAAAACACTTCGAGATTTGTTTTATTTAAAATTTTTTGTTATGAAGAACGAGGATAGACGTCTTTCATAACTTGGTTTATAGATATATCTATTCAGAGCTATTCTGATGATTTGAAATATTTCAATCCAAAACACACCAAAGAAGAACACACTCAATCCAGGTTATATTTCTTATACAAAGTCTATGACTTTCAAGAATTACGCGTCTAAGCTAGTTCTGTAAGGTTGTTCATACAAATACTCCACTTAGATCAGTTCCTCAGAACCTCACAAATTCATGTCACCAGTACAGTAATCTCTAACAGACAATAGTTACTGCCAAAAACGTCAAAAAAATTTATACGTTGGTTTACTAGATGATACGGTACAACTTTAGGACCAAAAGTAACCAAGCAATCAACAGTGATACCGTACCGTACTGAACAAGATCAAATTAGAAGAGCAAGCTGATCTCTTGATCAAGTGTAAAGGTCTGGTTATGATAATATACCCCACATCCTGAACATCTTGTGAAGTAATCCATCAGAGATGATAATAAAATACAAGACTGAAGACATAAATCTGAATCAGATAGATCAAAACAAAATACAAATCATATGTCTGGCATTTCTTTTCTGCTGGACTCAAACTAACAAACATTTAAAATATAAAAAAAAAAAAGTAAAAGGAAACAATCTCACCAATGACTATATTAAATTTGCAGTGGCAGATCTAAACAATTTACAGACACAAAACAGCGAAAAAATCACAAAAAAAATTGAAAAAGATGAAAAATATCTCACCAGCAGCGAAATGTAATGGCGTAGATTTCCGACCAGCAGTGTCTTTGGCGTTCACATTTTGAGTTGTAACATACTTTTTAACTTTGCCGAGGTCCCCATTTCTACAGGCTTCAAATAATTCCCTTCCTGATTCATTTTGGGCCGATAAATTTGAATCATTTGTTAATGCAGCCCTTCGACTAGCAGCCATCTTTGTCACACATAATCTCGAATCTGAACGAGATATCACGAGAGATTGTTAGATTTTAAATTTTGTGCTGAATACAAAAATAAACCTCGATATAAAATTCGACTCTAAACTTTCGGTAATAAAAATTTTTCAGAAATTCACTCGAATATAAACCAACTTTACGGGCACTGAGCTCTGCTTATAAAAACTTTATGATTTGAATTAATTAACAACCAATCACAGATAAAGACACTTGTCACTCTGTATAGCGCGGGAAAACACACGTGTTTTTATGACTTGATTAAATCCATTCATTAAATAACTGATTTTGACGTTGATCCAATCTTGTGATTGTAAAAACTCAAACCAAGATGTCATCAGAACTGGACGAAATGACTGAAGATGGCGACGAGGAAGTTATGACTGCAGGAGAAGTCCTGGAAAAACTGGAAGAGGTAAAGGGATTTGTTGTGGGCGTGTCTTGATTGAATCACGTGACATGTCATAATATTGACAATAAGAAAGCACATGGCCTTGGGCTGTTAGTTTACCTTTAAAATAACATGATCATTTTATTGACAGTCGATTTTTACAATCAACAATTCGATTGACATCCAGGTTATCCTTCCTGATCTTACCATTTTCAAAGATTTATAGGTTCTTATTACTTTTAGCCAAATAGACTAGTCAAGTAGCCCACATTCTACATGTCATTCGTTAAAAACTAGAATTAAAAGTAAAAGAATTGTACAGATGCATTCTATGCAATAATGCTTATTCAATTAAAAATTTGCATTCCTGTAGTTAGCTATCTATACTTACTATTCAACATACAAGCTTATATCTATCTCCTTGTGTTCCTGATGCTGTTGGAGTGACTCATTTGGAAGCAGACTAAGCGTAGGCCTAGGCTAATGTTACCGACTTGCCGGCGTAGCACATTTTGCACATTGCACATATATTTTTATAGCCCTGGTTAAATACCTAAATGGTTTAGATTCTAAAATTGCACTTTTTAAACCGTGACAATGTTTTGTTATGTATATTCTATCAAACATGAATATGTACATTTTATAGTAAGTTTTGTGACATTTCCACCAATTATCTCTATAGGCATGGTTAAATGAGAAATTTTCACCTGAGATATTGGAAAGTAAAAGTGATCTAGTAGAATGTATGTTAGAACAGATAACAGCAATGGAAGAAAATATACAGCGGGCCAAGAAAGGGGATTTTAAAGTCAGTATACATCGCATGGAGGTAAGAGAACAATAAACAATAAATATACCAAGTGCCACCAATCCTAAACACAAAACGAAACTTGAAATCCAAAACAACATATTCGCAAAACACTGGTAGTAGCTAATGAACTTTTCATATGAGGATGTATCTTTATATTTCTAGCTTTTGACTTGCAATAAATTGTGATTCTCAGCCATTGTGGCTGCCCTGTCTGGCAAATAGTCTAAAGTCAAAACCCCTATAAATGCTATTTAATCACTGATTACAAATTATTTTGTTTTTGATTGGAGCCCCTCAGCATAAGTACTTTGGCAGAAAATGCTGAATCCTATTTCAAAACTTGATATTTCACATGGTTTCTGCATTAAGATTAGAATGAAAGAATGATTGGGCCTTGTAAATTGTTTCGCTGGATCAATCAAAGTCCATGCTAGTCTTCAGGATTTACCATTTTTTCAGAAATTTTTTCTAATTTTTTTTTACAGATTGATAGAATAAGATATGTTTTAAGTAGTTATCTAAGGATTCGATTAAAAAAGGTATTGTAGAATATTTTTGTGGTTTGTTTTGTAAATATGACCCTATGCAATGATAGAAAATAGCAGAACAATGAGAATATATAGAAATGATTAAATCATGATTCCGTTTACACGGTATCATTTGATTGGATAACAGAGGTCACATGCATTCTCTATTGTTCGTATCAGTTCATTAGCGTTATGTTGAAATTTTATGTATTTATGCGCCAATTTAGTGCCTTAAGTTGTTGTTATATTAAATAAATATTTAAACACGTATTCGAGTTGATTAAATTACAAGGAATCAATTTATTCTCATTGCTCTGTTATTTTGTATCATTGCTTGATAAAGATATAAAACACCTTTGTCGAAACTGTCGAATTATCCAATTACTAAATCCCACTTAAGGAAGTCTTGGAATATTTTATGAATACTGGCAACTCAACTATATGCAAATGGTTGTTTGAAATTCACATCTTCATACCAAGCTATTTGGATATAGTTTACCATGGTCACATTTAGTTATTGATAAGGGGACATGGTTTAAACAAGGACGAAGTATGGTGCCGTATTGCTATTCGATAAGCCATTATTTTTCAGCAAGCAAATTAAGAATATAAATTGTTTTTTTTTTTTCAGATAGAGAATTTTACAGCCCATATTTTACACCAAGAATGTAATAGAAAGGATGAGGATTCTCCATTGTTGTCACCTGAAGAATTTAAATTTGCTAAGGAGTATGTTTTATTTTTTATTTCTATTTTTTTTCTGAAAAAATTACATTGTTTGTGGGACAGGAGGTGCTTACTCTCTTGAAATGATGTTAGTGTTCCAGTATTTGATTGGCCAGTCACTAAAATCCATTTTGAGTTAAGTTTTATTATCCAATAAGGTTACAGTACTTTATCTGGATTTCATCTAAGATTTCACCAAGGAGTCACAATATTTTACAGAGCAAAGATTAATAATGAAATTTAGCATTACATACACTCTACTGTCGAACTTCATAATTGGTTGATGAAATACAATCATCACTTCTTATTTGACCAGTAAAAGAAAACTACTGTTAGATTTACATTTTTAGCTCCTTATTTGGAGATTTGATGTCAGAAACATCTGGTGTGGATTGTAAAAAATATCCCCACAATTGTTGTGGTCTGTAGTCTCGCTATTAAAACTGGAGTTATGTCCCTTTTAATGTACTTCTAACAAAGGGCCATCACAGAAATAAGGCCTACAAATTAAAGATTATTTTAAAAATTATATCATTATTTATTTGAAGATATCAGAAATAATTTATGTTACTTTTACAATGAAACAGAGAATGATGATTACATTTTGATTTAGAAATTGTCAAGGAAGTTGAAGCTTTCATTTCCGTTTTTTTCAGAAATTTGATTAAAATTTAATTATTTTGTTTAAAAAGTTGGTTTCATTGAAAGCTCTCACAACTGATATAAACTTGATATCGATATTGATAAACTTTTATTGATTTTGTATTAAAATTTGGTTATATTTTTGTAGATATCAGAACAGTATTGAAGGCCATTTTTCAACCCTGGCACTAAGACACATGCCAGCCAACTCCCAGACCCTAGATCCTAAACTTACAGGTAGGTTCTTCAAACTTTCACTTCAATTTTATCTGTTTGTCCTGGCAAAATTTCTCTCATTGCCCCTTGCATGACGTTGCCCATCTTCATTAGCCCACATGGTGCAGAAAAGTAGGAGGTAAAACTCCATTCATTTCATTTTCATTTTCAATTTCATTTGTTAATGATTAACTGAAATGTAAATCTCATCTCATCATGATATTGGATCAATTGGTCTATATATTTGATATGCTCACATGGAAATGTGAAAATTTCTAAGTAAATGAGAATTGAACGAAATCACACGCAGATGAATGGTGATCTGGAGAAAACACATTTCCTCACGAACGTATTGATATTGGGAATCTATTACTGAATACAGAAGTATATTAGTTTAAACATGTTTTTATTAAAATTCACACTAGAAAAAAAATATTGAATACTAAAACTACTCCCTTTACAATCAATCAAACCAATAATGATTTTTAAAATAATCTACCTCCAAGAATGTACATAGAATTTAAAACCTCAAAATTGGTCAATAAGTGTATATATTCATCAGTTAGATTTGCCAGGTACCCTGACTAAAGAATAAAATCTCTATATAATACGATATATCCATAAACTAAATATTTATTGAAAAACATTTCAACATTTCTTAGTTTAATGGATTATTACTTAGTTTTATTGATTTATTGGTCTATAGAGGAATTCTGTCCTAGTTTTGACACAAGGTAATTCCACTGATGAAAAAGCACTCATTTTGGCCAAACATATAAATTTTAATTTTTTGGTTATTCTAAGAGGTAGTATGCCTTTAAAAAACAAATTGATGAATCTGGGTACACAATAAAGTTTCATACTACTCTTAAAAATTATAAAAAAAAAAACATTGAACTAAATAACGTGTATTATTTATTGAAATTTATATTTGCTCTGTTAATGTATGATCTGATAGGTGTGTTTTATATTTAATTCTTTGTGCATGTTACTTAGTGAGATAGGTGTGAACTTTATTCTTGGTACGTTTTAATTTAGTAAGATTGATTGTCTCTAGCAACGGTAAAAGTATTCTTCCCCGCCCAACACCTGATAAATTTTAATACAAACTCAGATTGCCCTGTATTTTTGCATTGAGGATGGTGGAAACTTAATTAAGACTAGTTTTCTGATGAAGTGGACAAAATTTCGTTGGCTATCCCAATCATTAGCTCTCACATCTTGCAAGGGATTATGTTTCAGCATTATCACAAATTAAAAAATCTTATCTTAAAAAAGCAGATATCATGGCCGGACATATTAAAGCTTCTATTACATATGACTGGCAAAGGCTGTGAAATCAGAAACCCTGCACTTGTCACCCAATAAAAAATGTAACTATTCAGATATACATATAGGTATTCAAGGTGTTTAATTTCACTTGAGGCAAAATAAAAGCATGTCACATTGGCTTAATAAACAATTATTTTAAATTTTATTGATGGGTGTATACATTTATACTGGGTTTAAATACGTCTACATCAGTCACAAATTTTAACAATAGCAGTTCAGCCCAACCTGCAAAAACAAACTTAAAAAATCATTAGATTTGTCATATCAGCAAATATTGCAACATTAGTTTATAGGACCTTTGATAAATGATTCATAGGCCGAGTTCAATTTAGATTGAAAAATTTGACTAGCAATTTATCACACCAAATATTAGTTTAGACTAATCAATTTAAATCCTGATTAGCGTTTCTTAAAACTTCTGTAGAAATTTAGAATGTTTCACTAGTAAACTGTACAAAAAGTGCTTAATTCCTGCAAATATATCTCAAATTGGGAATTTCCCTTCTTCTTTCTATAGATATCTTTATATCTATGACAGTCTCCACTTTCAAACTCAGATAATTCTGGACACATGTGGATTTGAAAGCTAAAATTTGGACAGTGAGCCGTGAACACGATTACCACTATTACTGATTAGCTTAGCTAAAAAACTGAGACTAAGGTATGATTGGTCAAAAAAACTGTGCAACTGTCCTTTTAAAAGACTTAAGAGTTGTTTTTTAAAAAAAATTATGTGTATAAGGGACATTGATAGCATCCATTTAAACAATTTTCAATCAGACATCTGTGGTTCTTGTAATTCTATTTAAGCTATGAGTTTTATGACATCACTATCGCAAAAGTCCTTATAAATCAATAGCAGCTTTTGTGATAGTGACGTCTTCCAACACTCAAATTTTGTGGAATGGCAGGAAATTTGACTGAAAATTTGAATAGTTGAAATTGATGCTATAAGGGTACCTGATGTACTGGTAGAAAATTTAGAACACCTGTTACCATAACGTTAAAGTTTCTTTAAATCATATTAATGTACAAATTTACTATCTCTTCACTAAACAGAGTTTTATTAGTGCAGAATTTAGTATAAGTGTCCTTTCATAGATTTATATAATGTAAAAGAAGTTTTAACATAGTTAGTATCGAGCTATTTAACATACAAAATTGAGAATAATAAGCTAAAATATTTTTATAGTTGAATAGAGAAGCTGGGTGAATAGGTTCTAAAAAATTGAAAATTATAAATATTGTATTATTTTTCTCAAATGTAGACTGATTGATGTCTTTATACCATATAGTAGTCTCTTGATTTTGTGCAATTCTTTTATATTTGATATATGTCACACCCCACCCGCCATAAGGCGTGGCTGAAATATCATCTTTATTGCATGACACTTATGAATGAAGAAAATCATCATACAAACGTGACAGGAAAGTCAACAAATCATAAAGTGTTTCTTATATCCATGTGGACGTAAATGATTAATATTTTGTTCAATATTTATATCATAAATACAAGACAATATTATGGAATAACAGTTGTTAATCAATGAACCATGTTAATCTCTATTATTTATAACCCTGTTAATCTCTGTTATTTATAACCCTGTTAATCTCTGTTATTTATAACCCTGTTAATCTCTGTTGTTTATAACCCTGTTAAAATCTATTATTTTTATTTGTTATATATTCTGTTATATTTTATTCTCTCATTATTTAAACTGATGATGACACGTGTAATTTGTGTTGAAACTGTTATGTGTTTAATATTTTATTAAAGAATTGTGTTTATTATATAATATTGTCTAGTGTTTGTGATATGTACTCCTACTCTCTTCTAAATATCATTCAAGTCTGTTAGTACAAGCTAAAATCAAAGTTTTGACAAACAGAAAAACTATGATGAGTCTATGATTTATTTGTGTTTCATCTTAGCTAAAGTTTTGAATGATATATGTTTTTTTTTTTATAATTTTAAAATGAAAGTAACAGACGGCATCTTAAGTTCCATCAAATCATTGAAAAGGCCACCAGCCCTCCCCCTCCCCCTCCCCCTCCCCCTCCCCCAAACCACCTCATGCCTGTGAATGGTCAATGGGAACTCCATGAATTTTTTCTCAGTAAGAAAGGCATCTCTCATTTTTGTCCAAATCACACCCCCTCTTCCCCCTCCTATTACCATGAGCCATTTTCTACATACTGTATGCCCATGGGCTATCATAAGATATTTCAAAATTTGCAATTTAAATTTGCACACATATCTACTTGAAACAGATTGTATTGACTTACTCAATTCACCTTCTCAAGTTAAGTTTGGTGCATGTCATGCTGTAGTCATGTATTTGGCATGCTCTGTCCTTGTGTTTTCTATGATGGAGCTGTTTGCCTTCAGCCAAGGAAGTGTCAGGTTTAATCCTATTTGAAGAAATATTATATAATATTTATACTTATTTAGATACTCCCATTCATCACCAAAATAACTGATTATAAAATGATGGTATTTTTTTAATGTCGTTTCGTCATTTAAAGCATCTGTTGCAGCTGACATGAATAAAATACTTTTTCAGAAGTTTTTATTTTATGATTATTTTTAAATAGTTTAAATTTATGATTCTGTCATCTGTGCAACTTACATAAACCAATCAATTTTAATCTGACCTAAAACTAATGAAAAATACCAATGAAAACCTGTGTTACCACGGATACAAAACTGTGCAGTTAAGTGGGTGTTTGAGGCCAGTCTCTTGTTTTAGTTGTCTTGATAGCGTTTTTGTCTGTATCAATTCTACTGAACATGATTTGAAGATTTTGACCAATAATCATGTTCACAATGTCCTATATACCTTGACTGCAAAAGGCACTTTTCTAGTACCACGGAAGTTTGTAAATGAAGCCATTTGATTGTATTGTACGCCAGCATTAATCAGCCATATGGTTACAGTATTTCTGTCGAGGGTTCTGATTGGCTGTATTCTGTGGCATACAATCCAATGAAATCACTTCATCCTGTGATACAAGAATGGTGGCTATTGCAGTCAAAGTATAAGACGAAGTAATTTATAGCTTGACATTGTGATTTTGACAAATCATCAGACAAAGTTTTAGTGAAAAAAGCCTCAGAACTTTACTCAATTCAGCTACAAATAAAAAAACAATATCTATTTTTTTTAAATTTCTGTTTCCTGCTTGACTACATACAGTAGTTTTGTCAATATTGATATTTCTAAGAACACACTTAATACCGTACTCAAACATTAAAACATAAATATTAAAATATATTATTTATTCATGACAAATCCTCGATTTTTTCACATCTATTGTATAGAGACTGTTATTGTAAAGAGGTTTTCTAATCTTTATGTTAATTAGGGTCACTGATGGCATGGATTTCAACTGACATGAACATCTGTGGGTCACTAAATTAAGGTGTTTTTGGAGATAGTGTTTGACTTGTGAAGAGGTTTTCTAAATTTTTTATGCTTATCAGGGACATTGATAGCATCAATTTAAACCATTCCAATTTTCAATAAGACTTCTGTGCTTCCTGCAATTTCACTAAAACTAAGTGTTTTATGATGTCGCCCCTGCAAAAGTTGCTTGTATCCCATAAGACTTTTGCTGGGGTGCTATCAATTTCCCGATAATTAAAGAAAAATTGAAAAACTCTTTACAATCCCTTTACGTAAGCATATAACAAAATCTCTTCTTCTAAAGATAGCCGTCCTGATGATTATTAACAATCCCTTTAATATTTTATTCATATAGAAAAGGATTGGGGAACAGGTTTTCGCCTATATTACCCCTCTCCCGAATCCCTTTAATATCTGAAACCTGACGGCAATATGAGATGTGCTCTTGTTTATAAATAAAAAACTTCCAACTATGGTAATTTATTCAATATTCTTTCACTTCTTAAGTATTTGTTATAATTGGTACATTTTAACATGTACAAGCATAGTTTCTTCAACTTGTCTCAAACAGTTGCAAATTTCAGTTTACCAATATGAGTTTTTTTTAAAGATGGGTTCCCTTATTTTTTAGTGTCAAATTAAGCAAACTATTTGATTAAATTCATGTTTCTAATGAATAATCATGTATTCTTAATCATATCATAATGTTTTTATTGCATATATTTAAAAGTTTTAACCAATCATAAATGTCCATGTAAGTACAGTCTGGTTAAACAAAATACCTTTTGACCTTTCTTGATCGGTCTACTCATTGGAATTCTGCTGGTAATTCTCTTCTAATTTAGCTAATTATCAATTAATTAATTGGTATTTTTCCAAGTCATTAGAACACTTCTACATTCTATTCATATAAATATTAGCATTTTCTTTTTCATAAATGATAATAAGGGAATCCATCTTTAATTTTTAAGTTTTTAGTGATGTATTTCAAGTTGCTGATAAAGGTTGTCTAACAAGTAACACTTTTGATTACAGAAGCTTATATAGGATTGTCCAACACTTGATAAAAACAAACAAACTGAAACATGTTATAAAATTCAAATGATATTTATATAACCTTGAGCTCTTTGGTCAGGTCATTTGTTGATCTAAGGTCAAGGTCAGGATAGTTTGTTTAAGATATTTTCAAGAAAAAAACTCTATTAGTTTCTTGCCTACCTACATATTTTGATGATATTGACTGCATGTCAATATGTAAAAGATATATATCAGGGCTATAGTTTACATCTTAGTAAGGACATTATTACTGTGTTTCCACGGAGGGAAAAAGCTGGCTTTAAGTAAGCTTTCGTGTGTTCCTGCTGGGCAAATTGCCAAACCGTTATGTGTTTGGCAATTTATCGGGGTCCAACTAAAAGCCAGCTTTACCTCTTTCGATAACAGGGGGCGTAGTGGTCTTTCAGGTCTATTGCATTTCTTACATGTCTAAACAGTAGTCTTTTACATCATGAGTTGTCAATGACTTAAAAATATTATTATGGTATAACCTGTATCTAATTTGAATTTGATTGTTATTTTATAATGATTTGCAACCATTTTCAGCATAGGGTTTAAAATGAAATAAAAGAGATATCTGAATGAGTGAAAATGCATCTGTAGCCTCCTTGTAGGAGATATATGCTGCCCCTGAACCTCCAGCTGATACTTTTCAGCCCCCACTTTGTTCGCCAATGTTTGTGTCCAAATTACGGTAATCCAAAGCGCTGTATATATATGCATGTATATTTATATACCTAGATATAAGGTGTTCAAAACTAGAGACTTGTATTGTAACCATTATTCTTCCCATTATTCCAGTTAACCCAGTTGTAAATGGGTACAGATAATCCCTGAAAATAAATGCCTAGAGAACTTGCTCCATATTCCTCTTCATATTCTTTGGTAAAATAATAATTTCTCTGTTTCTTATTGGCTAACAAAGGTAGGAAAAACTTGCGAAAATTTGAAATATGTTTATTAAGACTGCTTAACTCTTTGCTTGTTGCAATAGAATTTCTGATTCCCATTCTTGGAAAATATTCATTTAATTTGGCTAAAAGACTGTTGTTTTTTTCTTCTTTTGGTCAAGGTTTCCCAATTAATGCAATCTGAGGTGATTCAGATTATACGCATTTAAGATCTCTTCATTTCTCTATAGAGAAAGAGTAAATTTGCTTAGAGAGCAACATTTGTGGGTGTTAATCAATCACATAGTGTTCTATCTTACATTCCACTTTTTTTGTAGGTCGAAAATATTTTTGATTGAATGTGTGAGAACTATACACAACAATCTAGAGGAATGTGTTCCTTGACGTATTAGACCTGTAGTTCAAATTAAAGTAGATACAAAGATATAAATAGCATACTTTAGAAATATTTTCAGGAATAATTTACATGTCTTATTGTTTTCATTGATTTGTTTTGATGACGGTGTTTAACCTTTACTGTGACTTTTACCGAGCACTATCTTGTTGGTGGGAGGTATTTTCAATACAGGATTTGACCTTCACCTTTACGTGCTCTGATTGTGAATTTGCAATTTGATATGCACTTTTCAGATAAAGATGAAATATGTATTTTTCATGGTATCAAAGTACAACAGTCCTTGATTTGACCTGATTTGTTTTCTGTTTTTAGTTCTGTACAAAAAATCTCTATAGGTGTATACCTTAAAATTTAAAATGCTACAATGTTCTATTATTCCATAAAATCTACTAAAATATTGTGTAAGATACAAAGAAGCAGAATCGTTTGGTATCAGGCATGTACCTCCAAAAGATTACAGATTCCAACATTAAAGAGTCAAAATGACGTCACATTGTGTATCAGCTACTTGACGTGCGTAAGACGTCACGTTAATGTATGCTAACTTCTCAACATGTTGCTAATAAAGGATACCTCCTCGATGGTAAATCAAAAAGAGTTTTATAAACCCCATATTGACAAAATTTCAAGTGCAAGAAAACTTGGACTGTGGATAAAAACATAATCAGTGTTTACAACAGAGAAACATTTACATTGTCATTATGAGGTGAACTGGGGAAGTATGACACTGTATACCTGTTAATGACAATGTAAATTGTTGAGATGTTCTGTGTCATAAAAACCAGGCGTATTATATGATGATATCTTGTTCCCTTTTTTAATGTGATCTCTTACCCATGATATTGCTAAAGGATTATCTTACTGTTAGTTACCTGGTTATTATAAACAGTTTTATCTCTACCACATAGATAAAGTTTCATGCATGTTATGTGAGAGAACAGGGCCTGGGTCTTGTTTTCGAAAACTTAACTTAAATAAAATCCCTATTTAAGGACACCTTCTAATCTGATGGTATAGTGCCCTGGTTCCAACCTGGGGTGTGGGACAAGGGTGTAAGGGGTGTGGCCAACTGATGTATTAGAAGTGAGGTGTGGGACTAGGGCGTCAGGCCAACTGGTGTATTAGAAGAATTTATTTTGAATTGAGAGAGCACCTCACATCATCACATGCTGAAAATGTGGATGAAACAAATTTTAGGGGGTGTGAAAGATCCAGGTGATTGCTTCAGTGGTGTGAAGGCTGAAATAGGTTTGGAACCACTGGTATAACAAAATAAAATTTAAAGGGGAACACTCTCCAATTATATAACTCCAAAAAATGTTTTGGTCTCAACGGATCTAAGACACTCACTTTAAAAAGTAAGGTATTATTGCCATCGTTATATATTTAACTAGCTTGATTAGGTTTCTTTAATCAATATTGCTTGTAGATTTGTTTTAATTTAGCTACTGTTGGTAATTATTTGGCTACTGCTGAAAAAGTTAGAACCAGTTTTGGACATTTACAAATACTAACATAAAGTTGTATATTTTTGCCACATTTTTAACAATCTGAGAATTCAGACCATAAAGTCAAAATTCAAAATAGGTCAATCAAAATTGACAAATGCACCAAATAATGAATATGTCAGTTAAAATTAAAATTCTGTTTCTGCACTTCTTGTATATTATGAACAAAGTTCATTACCAATTTAAAGTAATCCTTACAAAGTTTAGGCAAAAATAAAATTTTCAGACTGTGGTCCTTTTAAAAAAATTTTAGTGATTGACCAATCAAATGAAGAGAATGTCATTCTATATCAAATAAAAATTGGATTAAAGGGACAGGTAGGCCCTTTTTTATTGACCAATTTTAGTCTCAGGAACTGGAATTTTAGCTAAACCACTCAGAAATAATGGCTATAGCGCACCTGCGAAATTTGAGCCTTCAAATCCATGTGTGTCCAGAATTATCTGCGTTATAATGTTAACATGACGACTCGTCAATTTAAGATACTCATATATAGAAAAGACATATATAGAAATAGTGAGTGAAATTCCTAGTTTGAAGTATTTTTAAAGAAATAATGTGATTTTCGTACATTTCTAGTACTTCTGAAGACTATTTACATATATTCAGGACTAAAATCAACCCCATAAATTGGAACACCTGTCACTCTAAGTATTATCCTGACTAGTTGCAATTTTGACCCTATTTTTCAGTAATAAAGCCCAACCTAGATAGTTATGTATTTCTATGTTCTGTATATTTCAGTAATAAAGCCCAACCTAGATAGTTATGTATTTCTATGTTCTGTATATTTCAGTAATAGAGCCCAACCTAGATAGTTATGTATTTCTATGTTCTGTATATTTCAGTAATAAAGTCCAACCTAGATAGTTATGTATTTCTATGTTCTGTATATTTCAGTAATAAAGCCCAACCTAGATAGTTATGTATTTCTATGTTCTGTATATTTCAGTAATAAAGTCCAACCTAGATAGTTATGTATTTCTGCAGGTGAATGAAGAAACTCAAGGTATTTTGATTGAAGAGGAAACATTGGAAACAGGGTATGTATTTAAGGTGTTTCTAATGATGCTTGCAGCCCCACTGTTAGGGTGGATTCAAGGGGGGGGGGGGGGGGGGGCTGGGCCCAGCAAGTGAGAATTAAGCCCCAGTAAAACCTTCTACAGTTCAGCAGTTCGTGTCTTCATACAAAACTGCTTGACATTTTGAAAAGGTGTTTGGCACCTTAAAATCATTTTTTAAAAAATGGGTCTAATGTTCAAATTCTCATGGGGTAGAGCCCCCAGCTTATAAAACTTGTGTTGATTGAAGTTGTCAGCCCAATTTTGAAATATTTCTATATAAAACACAACATGGTGTTATAGGTCTTGGTGTCAGTGGCGAAGCCAATGAGGGGGCTTCGCAGCCCCTAAAGCTAGTTTTTCGGACAATCTCAAATATTTCACCCACCCCTCGGACATGAACCTGGCTCCGCCACTGCTTGGTGTGATATGAGAATAGAATTAGTTCCTATAAAAGCCCAGACATAGATCACAAAGTAGTTTTACTGTATTTTAAAGACTTATTGATATTGACCACCATTACCTCTCAAGTCACAGATGTTATAGAAAAACAATATTCCTATTGTCAATATAGTATTCTATTAATATATATAATAATAATAGGTATAGGTCAAAACTCACTAGGGATATTATGGACATGTTATTATCTAAAGTTTGTTACTAGTCTTATCTAGTCTATACTTGAAGGAGTTGTAAAAGACGTTATTGATTTGGTGATTTGTATCAGTCATTAGGTGTTGATAAAGTAGGATACAGACAGGCAAAGCATAGCTTCTGTTGCCTATTGCATTAGACATTGGAGTATGATGACCTGACTGGCAAACATAGCCAAATCAACAGCCCTTAGGTGTTGACAAGCACGATAAAGAAAAGCAAAGCTTAGATAAAGCCTATGTTGCCTATTGCATTAGACATTGGTGTATGATGACCTGACCAGTTCATACTGACTTGCTGTGTGATTGTACAGGGCTATTTTAGTATTTATCTGGTAGTTAACAAAGTTTGTACAGTATTTAGCAATTCATCACAACACATCTTTTTACCTAACTTGTCCTTGAATTTCATCCAAGCTAAACTAATCTACAACATTGTTTTCTTTTGCTGCCTTTTTTTTGATAAATTTGTTGATTGTAAACAAGATAATATCTTCACAAGGTCAAGCTGTTATAACACCTTGACATCATTAGGCACTTTTCATGTAATTTTTCATGTAATCTCTCCGAACCCTCCTCAAGAGGTTAGCATTATGTGCTGTTAACGGGAATAGTTTCCAGAATGCAAATAGATGCAAGGAATCAAACCATGTATTCAGAGCATTCTTGGTGAGGGAGCTCTCTCCCGACTCTCTGCAAGGGGCGAGCATTGTATGCCATCAATGAAAATGCTGAACAATTTTCTCGGCCAACCCCAGTTTTCAATGCTTCCAACTGCTCTACAAACAGGGTACAAGTTAAACAGTATGGCATCGCAGTTTGCATGTCAAAACGACCCATTTTATGATCCAATATTTGCTATGATTAGCAAAAATTAAAATTTGAATTTTTTAAGATTGCATGTTAAATTAAATTAAATTGTATATTTTGTGTGAAACTGTTAAACCCAATCTAGAAATATACTTGATTAGCCAAAACTGAAATTTTGTGTGATAAACTGCTAGTAAAATTGTTCAATCTAAACTGAACCCTGCCCTGAATCTATGTATTTGATATAATCCCCATAGTTAGTCATATTTATTTGGTATAACATACTATAACATGGAATAGAGTTGTAGATAAAATATAGTATATAGTTAGGTCTTGTATACATACTTATATTTTGTATATAATACTAGCTTGTTGCATTTTGTCACCAAATGTTTATCTATGGGTAGATCAAGGTAACCTATAAAATTTATGAAATAGAATTTTTTTGTGTCAAAATATTTTAAATTATTTTTATGGTCAATTAAATCTCAGAAAGATCTAGCAATACAATAGACTGTTGAAATTTGTAGATTTTATAATTTGAATGCCTACAGTTATTGGACCAAGTACCTGGTAGACCTGGCAGATCCTTGAAAAATTTTGAATGTCTTTCTTTTTGTTATTAAGTGTAGCATAGTTTGTTAAATTTATTAAATTTTGGGGTTTTTCTAGCCATTGTATGTGTGTTAGTCACTTTGTTTCTAGTTGAGTCATGTCAGTTTTCCTGTTAAAGGTTGTAGTAACAAGATGAGTGGGGACATGTGGTGGGTTTAGCCTCTCCCCTGCCATATTCTTTTTAACCATGTTTTCCTGCATTCTGAGACCCCTCTGTTAGTCAATTTAATGACTGTTAATGATCTTGGTCTTGAATATATGTAATTTTAGTCTTCAGAAAGACTAGAACTGCATGATAATCACATTATTCCTTTAAATAAACCTCAAACTGGGAATTTCACACAAATTTCTCTATATGTCTCTTCTGTATATGAGGCCCCTTGTGCTACAGGCTGTGCACATTAAAGATCCCTCGACAGTTGGAAATCGAAAAAGAGCAGGCTAATGCCGCTGTCCTGGCAAAATTTCCCTCATTGCACACTGCATGGCATTGCTCGTCTTCATTAGCCCACATGGTGTAGAAAAGTAGGACATAATACTCCATTCATTTCATTTCATTTCTTCTGTATATGGCAGAGTCTCAAGAAAAGACCAGTTGTCATTTTAACATTCTAACACAGATAATTCTGAACACACATGGATTTGAGGGTTCAAATTTCGACAGTGTGCTGTCTTACTCTTTTCGAACCACCTGATGGTACTTCTCTTTAGAGGATCTACTACTGTACTACCTTTACAATCTTGCCATTCTTTGGACGAGATTTTTGATTGATGGAATTGTCTTTCTTGTATGTATTTTTATTACTGATTAGCTAAGCTAAAAAATTGTATTTCTGAGACTAAGGTACAATTGGTCATACTGATGGTGAACCTGTCTCTTTAACTTAATTGCATATTTGCTGAGCAAGTGATCAGTCATCTACTCAACTTCTAGCTATTACTAACTGTGTCTATTATATCTTTACTACAATAGTCACGTTTCTTTTATCACTGAAGCTGTAAAGGCAGCAATTTGATTGCATTGTACACTTACAAATACATCCAATGAGTGCTCTCAACAGAAATGGTGTAAATAATATGATTGCGCGTTTTATTGAGGGCTATGATTGGTTGTCTTCACTAGTGTACAATCCAATCAAATCACTGCATGTACCAATTTCTGTGAAACAAGGAAGGTGACTATTGCAGTCAAGGTATTAGACACAGTTATTATAGCTTGATATTATGAAGATGCCAAAAAACATGTGCATATTTCTTTAAATTTTTCACCGGTAATTGCGAATGTTGGCACCTCTCAAATCAGCTGATACACAAAATTCCTGGAGGTTTAACAATAGTAACAGTCAAGGTATTAGACACAGTTTTTATAGCTTGATATTATGAAGATGCCAAAAAACATGTGCATATTTCTTTAAATTTTTCACCGGTAATTGCGAATGTTGGCAATTCTCAAATCAGCTGATACACAAAATTCCTGGAGGTTTAACAATAGTAACATAATAGAACATTCCACCTTGACCTAGAACTGGCTGAAAATAAACCATTCTGATCTGACCTAGTTCATGTCTACAATTTACATCACAGGTGGTAGCTATCAAATAAAAAGATATAAAGTTTGTAGTTGACAAGTCGACAATTTTATTTATAGGATAATGACATAGAAGAAATTTTTACCCAGTTTAAGAAAGCCTTAAAAACAGAAGGGCCATGCTCACAATATAAAGTTTTTACAAAATTGACTGCCTTACCTTTTTTGTATCACAGAAGTTTGTTAATGAAATAATTTGATTGGATTGTACCCTTGAGAATGCAACCAATCAGAGACCTTGACAGAAAGTCTGTAATCAATGAATTAAATTTTGTATTAGCATGACAATATTTTTTTTTCTATTCGCAGGGAGGAGATAGTTGACTTGGAGAAAAATGATCAACACATTATGAGATATAGACCTTTAGCACCACATGTTAATTCTGGAGCAGTATCCCTTATTTAGTCCAGAATAAGACTAATTTTAGGCACTTTTGAACTGATTAACATCAGAAACCCCACAAAGTTCGTAAAGAGTTCCCTACCAGTAGAGTAAAACTAACCGGACTTGTTCTAATGTTGGGTTAGGAATTTTAGGATGGGTTAGGGTTAGGGATTTCGCAGCTACTCATTAATATTATCAGCTGATGTCTATAATTTGTGATATCCCGAAGATTATTATTCTGGAGCAGTGTCCCGTGTTTCAGGACCGAAGCGAGACTTGATGGTTTTAGAGACAATTATATTTTCGGAGGGACAATGGTGTATGGTGTTAAGTTGCAGTAATGGATGGAAGTTATCGGTTGTTAGGGGGGCAATCCATTCTTTGCTCCCTTGTAGGAACGGTCTGCCTTATCTAGTTATTAGTTACTGTTATACATGGCCACTAGGACAACACCTTAAACTACAATATGAAAAGCAGTTATAGGTTGATGTATGTCACGTATGAAGATTGCCTTGTCAAAATCTCAAAGATTTAAAGGGATTGTAAAGAGGTTTTCTAGCCTTTTTATGTTATTGTGGTCTGGTGTTAGGTTGGTTACGAATTCTCTTGGGGGAGCTGCATCATTTCCTGTAAACACTTTCTGGAATTGCAGGAACCACAGGCATCGGAGAATTTGAATGTCCCAAATAGAAATGAAAGGTGATAATATGTCTAGAAACTCCCTAATCTGTTGATGTTAATTACTCCACAACAGGCCATGTATTCTCGAAACGATCTTAGCACTAGGACGACATAGGTTCTTATCTTCTATCATAGATTCTAGGACATCCTAAAGCTAGATCGTTTCGAGAATATGTTGCCAGGATTCTTAGACATCTGAAACTATGTCCTTGCTATTACTTAAAGTGATACTACGTCTTAGAATTAATATAAAATTTAAGAATTTTAAACTTGGCGAATAAGAGCCAGCAGATATACCTGGTGTCATAAATAACATAACAGGATCCTTATATAATCCATAGATTCCAAAAAACTTAGTAATTATCCATAAATAAGCAATTAACTATTGAAAAACGCTTAATATCAAGATTAAGCGTTTTTCAATAATATTTTATGAATTTTCCAATTTTCCAGATTTTAAATGGATTCTGTAGTACCTTTATGACATCAGGTAAGTTCACTGATGAATATATACTCATATTGACAATTCTTGAGAACTCAAATTTTATTTTCATTCTAAGACGTAGTATCACTTTAATAAGACAATTACAAGAAGTGACAAATGGCATGATATAATATAAAAACAATTTTATTGTGCTGTTTGTTAACAAGAGACTGTATCAGCTGTTGTCCCAAATTAGAATTTATTATATTCAGTGTACAAATAATTATGTATATTAATTAGCCAATATTTTAATTACCTAACAGTGTGTAACAATGTACAACAATGTTGCTTCTATTGATTGACTGTATTTTTTATTGCATCAGTGTCTATTCATTGCATCAGTGTCTACTCATTGTACAAGCACGCTGTTGATTCTGTCCTTTTTTATTGAGTAACAGTCTGTGATTTTGCTCAGATTAAAATAAAATAAGCTATTTTTTGTGAATGTATTTATGTCTAGATACAAACTTAGTAGGAACTAGAACATGATTGGCAATTGAAGCATTTGACATCAATTACAATTTTTCCTCTGGCCCCAGGGCAACAAAATATTTCTCTTTCTCAACTCAGTTTTAATCAAATCATAAAGCATCAAGATAAAGTAGAATTTGAAGACTAAAGCCAGAATACTTTGGAATAAAGTGATATATTTTTTTCTTTGATACAATCAGTTATACACTTGTAATAGATGTTTCAAATTTGAGTAAAATTTCAGCTAAGTATGAAAAAAGGTTTGTTGCCCTGGGGGTTGACTAAATTCAGACGTTCCATCAGATTTTCCCTGATGCTGTTGTCATTGATGATCCAATCCACTTCAAATAAGATTACAATTTCATTTCATTATTATTATTTTGTCGTCCTATATTGTAATATAAAAAGGTTTATACCAAAGGTCATGTACTCATGATGTATCAAGCCATTTATAGCAGACAATCACGTGCCAATCTCCCGCCAATCAGAATCACTTTTACAAGCGAGTATGGACACTCTTATAATCTCATCTCCTATGTGCTATCCCACAATTCATAGTCGATATTTAGACACAGATTCTGCGTGACGCACTGTGATTGGTTGAGATGAACGTTAACAGTACGCAACCTTGGTATAAATTTTTTTTTTTAAATTAGAGTGAGACCAACCAAAAATAATAACATGAAATTGTTATTTAATTTTTTAAAAGAAACACAGAATTCAGGTGTAATATGATAATGAATTTATTTAATATACAGTGCCAACAGCTTTAAAATATTGAAAATTAACACTTGTGAAGTTACTTTGATAGAATCTCTAAATGACATATAGAAGTAGATAAAACATTAAATTAATATGAAAAATATTATAGATATACTACTCCTTTCTTTAAAGGGATACTACGTCTTAAAATAATCATAAAATTTTAAAAAATTTATTGGCCAATAAGAGCATATTTTCATCAGAAGATATACCTGGTGTCATAAATAACATAACAGGATCCTTTTATAATCTGATAAGTCCAAAAAACTTAATAAAAATACAATTAACTATTGAAAAACGCTTAATATTATGATTAAACGCTTTTCAATAGTTACTTAGTTTTATGAATTTTCCAATTTTCTAGATTTTACAGGGATACTGTTGTAACTTTATGACACCAGGTAAGTTCACTGATAAATATATATACTCATATTGACCATTCTTGAGAATTAATTTTTATGTTCATTCTAAGACGTAGTATCACTGTAATTAATGTTTTGAGCTTGATAAAGATTCCTGTATGTGAATTGAAACGTTGCAGAAATTAAAGGATGGAGAAGTATATCTATAATAGTGCTTTTATTTATTTAATGATTTTGATAGAATTTTATAATTTATGTATGAGCAATGTATATGATTTATAAACTTTTTGCCATTAGCGTGCTACTAGTGCGAAGAAAGTGTCAGGGGGCGCTATTGTCCCCATATAATAGTGTTAGAATGCAACAGAATAGCACATGTCTTAAGACAAGCGTTATAACATCTCCAGGATCACAATACAAGTGAAATGCATCACGCCCAAAGATTTTATAATAACATGCCTTCAGAATGCAAGTCTGGGCACATATCTATCAGTTTCAGAGCGATTGTTATAGAAATAGTAATTTATTGGAACTTGTTTTCACGTTTTCAGCCACCCAGTAAACAATTGGTCAATCATGTCTGACAAGATCTAGGGAATGAATTTGACACAAATCCTCAATTATTATTCCTGTCCTTTACTCACTCCGTTAAATAATCAGTTTTTTTAGGACTTTTCTCAAATTCAGTCAAAGAATTAACAGAAATAACAAATGTAAAAATATTAGTTCATTAAAATTTTATAATAACTACCCATTTGGGTACAATAAAAATACATTACTGTAATCTTTGAGTGACATCGGCCTTGAGAAATTAACCTAGTAAACAAGCTTTCCTTCAATGAACACAAATATTGTATTCGCAATTTGAAGTGCTTATGCACTTGACTCAAAATTTCTAGCTTTGGGCTTTATTCTTGTAAACTTAAAGGGATTGTTAGGGGTTTTCTAGATTTTTAATGTGTATCGAGGACACTGATTGCATCGATTTGCACCATTCCAATTTTTGTCTGTAGTTCTTGCAATTCCACGAAAATGAAGATTTTGATGATGCCAAAGAGCTTATGAGATTATCAAATTATGCGATAAGTTTGTCATCAAACACTTATTTTTAGTGTGATTGTAGGAACCACAGACGTTGAAAATAGTGATGCAAATTGATGCTATCAGTTCTATACACAAAAAAAATTGAAAACCTCTTTACAATCCCTTTAACTTGAAACGTTTTTTAGTGCTCCAGTCCCACAACAATCAGTTTATTATCCAGTTATTACTACATTCATTAAAATATTAATGGTTTTTTTGTTAATTTTTCTAGAATAAGGCCCCAGGTTGTGTATTCTATACAAACTTAAAAGGTGTTCAAAGGTTTTCATGATTTCCTGGTTTTGTCATCATCGTTCTTATGAAAGTTTCGCAACTTCATACTATTTATTTTAAGAGCACCATTTGAATAAAAGAGACATTCAATGTCGTATAAACAAGAATTGTGACGAAATAAAATCATTTCTGTTAGGGCTGGGCGATATACTGGTATCACAATAAATACTGGTACTGTATAGGAATTTATATCGTCTGATTAAAATACTGAAATATCTTACATGATACATAGTAGTTATATGGTAGAGATATTTACTGTTTTCTCTTACATTTAAGAATTTTAGACAGAAAAACAACATTTTGTATCAAAAACCCGTAAAAACTATACTACATAATTTCGTAATATTATATTGATATATTAATGCTGAATATCATGATATCAACTTGAACCAATATCACCCAGCCCCAATACATATGATACATATAGCTTTCATTAATAATTTGAAGTTAATTCATTTCTCTCACGAATGTCAGTAAAGGTTATAATCCTTGATTTGGTGAATAATTTTGTTTCTAAAACAATATGAATTTCGAAAGTTACATTACATTACTTTTACATTTCTTCCTTTAGGCTAGGGGTTTTCAACCTTTTTTCCATTACCCCTTTCAAGATCCTCGATCAGTTACATTACCCCCCTTTCCCTTATAAATCCTTACTATTTCGTGATCTTATCTTAGTTTTTCCTTGCAATCTTCTTCAATATCTGAGAATATAGCCTGACTGAATAGACTTTAATTAGGATTGTCCCAAAATGTTAAACTTGATGATAAAGCTCCTCGTTACCCCTGAAAAATTTCAAAATTTTGAAAGTTGAAAACCCCTGCTTTAAGATTTGATATAAGTATTTCATATTATAACCTGATTATTAGTACACCCTTTTACTAAAAAGCAAACACAAATCCTAAATAAAAGCACTCTGATATGTATAACTCAAGTCTGTTTAAAATAAGCCATAAAAATGACGGCTCACTCTTTTTGGAACACCACTGTTTTATTATTCGCAGGCATGTCTATAATTTCTAAAATTTTCATTCCATTTTCATTGGCTACTTTTTCCACATCATCGATGTCGCGTAGACCCCAAGCAGACGTACGTGATCGTAAAGTTTGATGAAACTGTACGTTGCTCTCTGGTGCAATCACTCCATGCATTGCAAATGGCCCATATAAAAACAAGTGTCCATTAGGTTTTAACAGTTTTCCTGCAATTTTCATTAGTCCTAATGTACATTGCCATGGTGATATATGTATCAAATTAACACATAGAATAAAGTCACATGGTTTGAAGGCACGAGGAATCCAGGATTCCACTGGTTGAAGAACGTCTCCACGAATTGGTTGACAGACATTTTTAAGGTTAAAATGTTCAATGAAGGCTTTTATACTTTCGATGCTTTGGGCATCAATTTCTGAAGGTTGCCATATAATATGTGGAAGACTTTTGGCAAAATGACTCACATGCTGTCCTGTTCCTGAAGAAATTTCCACAGCCTTCAAAGCACCGTCTTTGCTACTTTCATTTTGGTCAACGCCCACTTTTGGCACCGGAAAATATTTTTGAAGAACTTCCAATATAGGATCTTTATTCCTATCCGCCGCTGGAAAATATATCATTTTATCATTCTCAATCTTGCCAACATCCAAATAATCCGATTTTAAAACACTCATTTTGATAGCAAAGCGTCTGTCACGTCGAGCCAGCCGAACGATGGCACATCGAATGTAAAATGTAAACATAACACGTCAATTTCAACCTATCCCATAACACCTCACTTCCGACAATCAGACCACATTTAATTTCTCCATTAACCACAATGTGGGCTTGACTATTGTAAAGAGTTGACAACTACACCCTTTTTAAATACTTCACAAACACACATGTTTATTTTTGAGTAATCTTTGCTATTCATTTCACGAATTTTTCAATTCTTTGAATGCGTTTTTTAAGTGGTTGATGAATCGAACTATTCTTGTTATTAAAGGGATTGTAAAACGTTTTTTTAACTTTTTGTGTGTAGGCCTATCGTTGACAATAATAGAATCGATTTTCAGTCAGACGTCTGTAGTTCTTGCTAAGGGCCTTTGCGAAAGTGACGCCATAATGGGTTTAATTTTAGTGGAATAGCAAAACCCACAGACGTCTGATTGAAAATTGAAAAATCCATGTTCTTAGTGTTCCCACAACCCCAAAAAACTTAAAAAAAAGAAAAGAAAATATCCTCATTACAATCCCTTTAAATCTCCTGTTTCAATTCACGAAAAATTCGGTCATTGAGCAGACACCACGCCTTTTCTATTGAACTAAATCAATATCTCACAAAAAACCTTTTGTACTGTCACCAAACACCAGCTTTTAACATTCTGTCACGATAATATTATAGTGCGGTAAAGTCTGCATGTATATATAACACCCTTACAGTCTAGACTGCAGATTTGACGCCTTAAAAGCCTTCTCCCACTACCGCAAAAAAAAACATCTCTGGGGAGCCGAGGTGGCCCAGTGAGTTAGACGCTTGCTCGCAAACCTGAAAGTCCAGGGTTCAAATCGAAAAAGAACATGCTAATGCCGCTGTCCCAGGCCCGTAGCCGTAGCACAGAAAAGTGCAGAAAAGTAGGAGGTAAAACTCCATTCATTTCATTTCCGGTTATTGGCCGGTACTCGTCGTTGGCAGCTCTGTTGTTTTTAATACGACGAAGCAATTGACGCGAGTTAAAATGAAAAGGCCACAGCAGTGGATGAAGGCCTTTACTTGTATCAGCTGCACCTGATTTATCTGTTAACTTTTCATCTACTAAGTATACGTCGTGAAATAGCTGAGATTGCCAGAATTTCCAACCAGTTATGAGATACTTGCCCGAAAAACTGGCTGTGAGGGTGTGGGGTGAGGGGGGTTGCCTCTGCCCCTATGCCCCCTCTGAGCAGACTTTAACTTGTCATCTACCTACTATTAACTAGTCTGCGACATCAGCTTCTAACCATTCGACGAGTGCCACCTAAGAAGTTATGTTTCATATTAGACGCAGAAAATAATGGGATCGATTGAAGGAAACCTATGTTCCACCCCCGTCGCCCGGAATGAATTGGTGCTGGGCTCATATTTTGTACTCGGAAATTTTGAAGAATTAAAGGGCCACAAAACTCATTTCTGACAATTTTGGGTGCCAAAACGTATCAAAATCTATATCTTTTTCATTTTGTACAAATGAAATGAATCGATCTCTGCTGAAATGAAGAAGCTTTTGCTGGGGATTAATTCTCACTTGCTGGGGCCCAGCCCCACGTACCCCACCCTAACGACGGGGCTGCTATAATCTGCTACAAAAGTTCGATTGGCCAATGCCAGATCTAATGACTCTTCAGATATCACGACATTGACCATTCTTGGAAATTTGGATTTCAGTGGATTACTATATATAAACAACATTCTTAATTGCAGTTACTCAAAAGAATGTCAGTGATAGACCCCAAAGTCAGTCACAAACTGTTATTTTTATGCAAATAAATCACTGTGATATTCAGTTGTTAAAGTGATACTACGTCTTAGAATTAACATAAAATTTAAGAATTTTAAACTTGGCGGATAAGAGCCAGTAGATATAACAGGATCCTTATATAATCCAATAAATCCAAAGAATTTAGTAATTATCCATAAATATACAATTAACTATTGAAAAACGCTTAATATCAAGATTGAGCGTTTTTCAATAATTACTAAGTTTTATGAATTTTACAATTTTCCAGATTTTACAGGGATTCTGTAGTACCTTTATGACACCAGGTAAGTTCACTGATAAATATAAACTCATACTGACCATTCTTGAGAATTAAATTTTATTTTCATTCTAAAATATAGTATCACTTAAACTACTGCATATATTACGCAGAAAGGTATGAATGAATGTATTCAGCTAACTGTTCAATAAAGATATACATTTAATTTATGATGTAAAATGGCACTAATAGTCTAATACGTCATATTCGATGCATGATAAAAGATTGAATGTTTATTCAAAATCAATAAAGGACACCTTCTCTTTAGGACCCTTAAACATAACTTGCCAGAAAGCTGTGCTAAAAAAAGTTTAATTACTTAAGTGAGTACCATGTTATATTATACAATTACTTGCATAAGTGTTTTCAACTAGTTGACGACGACTGGTGAATAAAATACGACTTACGATTTCGACTAATTGTGACGACTAGGGGGCCTAGTCAGTGATACATTAGTTTGAATATTATTTTTCTTATCCAGTTGGTAGAGTCTGATTTGAGCTATCATTCTAATTATGCTATCCGATTGTATCACATGGTGTTGACCTGTATAGTAGTGGCGGGTGTCGCTCGCGAAGCAGACGTGCTTACTCTTTCCGAAACGCCTGATGGTACTTCTATTTGTAGGAGTCCACTACTATACAACTTTTACTCTCGATTTTGCCATACTTTGAACGAGATTTTAATTAACGGAGTGGAGAGTGGAGACACGATGGTTTTGCTTGGTTATCTCTCAAGAGTTCTCGCCCTTTGATCCTTGAACGTCTGTCAAATTCTTTGGTTGTCAACTAAACCTGCTGAACTATACAGGACTTAATCGACTTAGTTTTGAAGGAATTGTTAAGAAATGTATTTTGCACCATTACAATTTTCAGTCAAGCGTCAGTGGTTCCTGCAATTCCAATAAAACTAGGTAGCGTTATATGATGTGGCTATCACAAAGGCAGCAGCTTTTGCGATAGGTTCTAGTGACATTCGGAGTAGAGAATGGAGGAGACCGTGATTAACCAGGCTGTAGGAAACTTTCTGTTAAATACTGGAAGTTTTCGGGTTGCATGATATAAAAGGTGCCAGCAAATATTCCCAGTCCAGAGATCTCTAGTCTTTCTTGACACTTTTCAAATAATATTGATAATGGTGCTACCGATGATATCTGCATGGGTTAATTAGGTTAATGTATTTACATACATGTATAACAATCAGAACTACATGCCCTGGGTTACTTTCTGGGACGCCGGGCCATTATCAACGTTCTTCCATTGAAATATTACTTATTATGACGTTAGGTGTGATATCTTCGTGGGATAGTGTATCCTATATCTGATCATTATTATGTACATGCCCTATACTTTTATCAATATCAGTTATACCGTGTTATACCTATTAAGGTATATAAATTAATTGAGTCTTTTTACCATAACAAACTTTCTTCCATTCAGATACTGATATTATGACGTCATAATTATGTGATATCTTCATGGGATAATGGACTCTTTCCGAATAAAATGATGGTACTTCTCTTTGGAGGAGTCCATAACAAAACAACTTTTACTCTCGATTTTTCCATGCCCTGTACTGATTTTTTATTTATATCATTTGATATTTTATAACAACTATGTATATGCCATAGAGTTAATAACTCTACGGTACATGCTCTATTCCTACGGATATCCGATATCAGCTCTTTATTATAAGGTATCCTGAGACTCCAGATCATCTGGATATTACCGATATTTTTACGCCATTTAGTGATATCTACATGGGATAATGTCTTTAAATCCTTTGATCCTTATAACAATTCGAACTATAAGCATGCCCTTTACTACTAGGCTTACCGATATCAGTCATACATAGTTTCCGAATCTCCAACAGTTTTCCATGCAAATATTACCGATATATTACGTCATATGAAATAACTGCTTAGGATAATATCTCTATATCCTAGCAATCAGAATTACGTGCACGCCCTATACTTTCGCTATCATGGTAAAGTATTTTAAATTGAACTATGTGCCTGCATATACAGTTTTAAATGTTATGTAAGGTATCTCCAAGTGTTTTTCACCATTTTACTTCCATGCAGATATTAGCGATATGACGTCATTGGTATTGATATTGATATGGGATAAAGTCTTTACTCCTTTGACCCTTATTACAATCAGAATTACATGCATGCCCTATAGACTGTTGACTGTTATCAGCCATTTTATACGTATAGCTATGTATTTATTTATATTGATAATTATCTTCAGGTGTATCACCAGGTAAAATGACGTAATTCGATGACGTAATATTCCCCGATTATAACAATTGGTCAGTAGGTTACTATCAAAGTTCATGACCTCATCACGCACTGACCAACTGTACACCAATGTGTTTCGTGAGGCAATTTCTGGTTGTTCTGGAACTTATTCAGTTATGATAAATAGTATCTGAACTGTAAACCCGTAGCCAGACTTGGGTACAAGTAATATATATGGAGAGGTAATGGCGTAAGGTCTTTAGTTGGAAGTAATGGTAATGGTCGTCCATTTTTCATGTAAATCATGTAGCCGCATCTTTCAGTTTGATCTGATGATGGGTCACGCATCAGCCTGCTCATTTTGAAACACAACCCCTATTAATTTGCCTGGTTTCAGAAAATGGCATGTTTATTTGATAAGACGTATGCTTCCCCGTACACTGTCATGTCTGTGTTATCCATATATTGTTTTTTATATACATGTCTATGGTGTTATCCTTCAAAATACTTTTCGCTAACCTGAAGGTTCAGGGTTCAATCCCGGCATAGGTCGAGATAATACCTTCAGATATTTCAACCCGGTTTCCCCCTGTCAGTGAC